GCAAGGCGACAAGGGGCGGCGAGGGGGGTTGGGAATCGCCTCATTGGCTTTTCGCAAAGCAAGTCGAGGGCCGCTGAAGGCCACCGGCAGCGCTGACACGCGTGTTGTCCCCCAGCAGGCCTCCCCCAGCGTAGGGACGCGGACCCCCGCCGGCGCCTGGCACCCTCCTGCACAAGTAAGTGGGGCCCTGACAGCCATCACGCACCAGGGATTTTCTTTTATTTATTTATTTTAATGATGGCGATTGCACTTATTAAGAAATGAGAGGCTCATCTGCCGGAGGAGCTGCGTAATTAGAAAAGGCGAACGAGTGCCTTTCTAATTACGCAGCTCCTCCGGCAGATGGGTTGGGTAGCTCGTCCCCGCAAACACCATTAGAGGCGGTGAATATTCCCTGGGACTTTGCCCAAGCCTGTTTCCAGCCAGGAAACTGAACTGAGAGGTTGTTGTTGGGTTGGTTTCCCCCCCCCACTTCCCTCCTTGCAGCTCGGTCTGGGAAGTCACATGTCTTAGCCAAGCTGCCAGCTTGATGCTTCTTTTTTTTTCTTCCCTCCCCCCTTATTTAATCCCCTTCTTCGAGCGCCCCCAGAGCTTTCACCCATCCACATTTCTGACACGTTTTTCGGCTATTTTTAACCCATCTCGTTAGCACTGGCTCCCCAGCGGCGAGCGGGCGGGTTATTGCAGCGCTGGGGAAAGGCTGGAGCACGGCTCGGCCTGGGCTGCAAACAGCAGCCCTTCTCAGCCATAAGGAACGGGTTATTTTACTTCCTCTGCTCTGCTTTTGTAAACGGAGAGGACATTTAAGCCTCTTGCTAGCTTACATAACCAGACAGCTACGGAGAAAAAGGATTCCCGGTGAAAGGTATATGCTCTGAGCCATTTAAGCTACTGCGGTCTAGGTGACTGTTGCATCCGGATAAGCAGCTTGGCAGCAGCCTACCAAGCCAAAGCTTTTGTTTTATTCCAAATCTAGTCCATTTACTTGGAGTTTCATAGCACCATTTGCCACCGCACGGCCCATTACAGGCCCGAGTGCATCGGGCGCGCTCGCAGAGTTTGAGTCCCCACGGATGGAGCCCGCCGCCGTGCATATCCTAGCAGCGAGCCCGGGCAGGGCATCTCATCCAAACGTGCTCTCCTCATCCCGGCTGGCATCCAACCACAAACCTACGGCCACCTCCCCAAATTCGAGCATCTGTGCATGGGCCTTGCTGGCAGCTCGCGGCTTCAGCCGGGTCTCTGTGCAGCGCAAGGCGGTTCCCACCCCGGTTTTAAGGAAGGCTTGTGCATCCTGCGAGATTGGTCAGCACCAGCGGACGATACCCCGAGCAAAATCAGCACAGGGACGGTCCCTCTGACCTCGACCTGCCAGCTAATTGCTATTTGCGTCTCCCAGCTGGGAGTGTAAAAATATATATATAGCCATTTACGAGTGCCTGAGCCCCGCGACAGCTCAGCTTGCTTTTTCACAGAGCGTAAAACCTTAGCTAATAGGCCACAGAAAAGGTCCTTACTTAAACAGGAAATTGTTCTTCTGGCTGTTTGCACTGTTAACAGGTCCAGCCTGAGATATTGCCTTTATTTCTGGGTAAGGTTATCTCTGGGTTCACCAGTGAGAATGAAGGAAGCCAGTCCATTAGTTTCTGCAAAAATACTCCAAAGCCAAAGCTTAATTGCTCGTTGCTGTAACATGAGCCAGGCAGCAAAGCTGGAGTAATTTCCACCCTCTTAATATGCCGCAACGCAGATACAAATGCTGGGAAATGCCCTTTCCCCTGCCAAGCCGGGTGGTTAAGGCGCTGCCGCCGGGCTGCTCCTTCCGCACGCTTCCTCGGGGGGCTGCGCTTATAATTCTGTCCCGATTTATTTCCGAGCTAAGGCAGCACCAATATAAATACTCGCGGAGAGACACAGCCCTTTCCGCCTCCCACGCCACAGCCCCACTGCGGCCGCGGCCGCGCGTGCCCACGCTCCGCTGGGGAACGCCGCGCTCCCCTTCCCGGGCGAGAGGCGCCCCTGGCTGGCGCCACGCTATTTTTTTGGGAATAGGTGACTGCCTGGCGTCACGAAAAGCCTCCTCTGCCGTTGCCCGACTGGCGCGCGCAACGCCGAGCACGAGGCTCACAGCAACCCCCCCCCTTACTCCTTTGCGCTGCATGGAGGCATCTCAAGGGGTTTTTGCTGCTTGAAGCTTGATGGGCGTTTTCCAGAGGTGTTGCGAGGGGATTTAAGAGCCCCTCTGTGCATTGTACACTTTGCATTTCATACGGCGATAAAAGGCTCATTAAAGCGGCATTGTATTCTTGCTGGCCCAGTGGCTCCCGCAGACGCAGGAGACTGGTAGAGCCCTTGGGAGCACCAGCAGTGCAAGTCAGAATTAGCAGATATTTGGAAAACCCGTAACTGTCAAAACACTACCAGGTATTATTTTGCTGCGGCCTGCGGTACATAAATAGCGACTTCTTTCATTGACGTGTCAGCAAGCGAGCAAAGCACTGAATTTTATTCTTTGGAGGAAAACCCCAGGTTGAGGCTGCCCAAGCGGAAACCTCAATTTTGGCTTGCTGCTCACCACCTCTCTCTGAACGTGAAAGCGTTTGGGAGCTCAGATCGATCCGCTCCTGCGGAGGGTAGACTTCCCTACGACTCCCTTTAGAAATCAATTCTTGCATATCAGAAGCCTCATTTGTATTGTCCGATCAGACAAATAATGGTTAATTAATGGATTCGGGCAAACTATTTTCCCCCAAAAGCTTTTCTTCCCCTGCTGCAAATTGCAGCTACTAGAGGAACTGGCTTCCATATATTGCCAAGAGCTGTGCAGGAGGCCACGGGGCCAGGGAGCAGCAATAGATGAGGGTTGTTTTTTTGGGGGGGGAATAACATGCAGTTGCAATCAGAGCTGCGCCTGCTGCAGCTGGGGAAACGGGACGGATGTGCGTTTTTCCGCGCAGATGTGTAACGCGGGTCCTCACCCTGCTGCTCCCGTAACGGTGCTTGTGCTTGTGTCCCACAGCCAGCGCGCCATGGCCAGGCTCCTGGCCGCCTGCGGGGCGCTGCTCCTGCTCCTCGGCCTCTGCACTGACGTCTCCCTCGCCAAGAAGGGCAAGGGCAAACCCGGCGGCTGGGGCACTACCACAACCAAAAGCCTTGGAAACCCCCAAAATCCAAGACCAACTTCAAGCACGTGGCCGGGGCCGCGGCGGCTGGCGCCGTGGTGGGTGGCTTGGGGGGCTACGTCATGGGCCGCGCCATGTCGGGGATGCACTACCATTTCGACAGCCCCGACGAGTACCGGTGGTGGAACGAGAATGCGGGACGCTACCCCAACCGGGTGTACTACCGGGACTACAGCAGCCCCGTGACGCAGGACATGTTCGTGGCTGACTGCTTCAACATCACAGTGACCGAGTACAACATTGGCCCTGCTGCTAAGAAGAACAACGCGTCGGAGACCGGGTCGGACGGCAACAAAACCGAGACCGAGATGGAGACCAAAGTGGTGACCAATGTGATCCGGGAGATGTGTGTGCAGCAGTACCGCGAGTACCGCCTGGCCTCTGGCGGCCGGCTCCACCTCGCCGAGGCCTTGCCTAAGCTCCTGGTCCTCCTCGCCGTCTTTCTCGCCATGCCTTGAGGGGGTATCCATCTGAAACGACCTCTTGTCCTTCCTTATGTTTGTCTTTTGGTGAAGTACCGTGAGATCCATTAGCACCAACAACATCTTAGAGACACGAGACAAATGTCTTAGAGACTCGAGACACCAGTAGTCCTCTTCTGAAGCCGTTCCCAGTTATCTCCATGGAGGCTCCATGTACAATGCAGGGCCATAAGTCAACAGGATTCAAGTTTAGTCAGTCTTTGTTCTAGAGATTACTCTTGTGCCACATTCGCCACCACTCGGTACAAGGCAGTTGTCAAGTTATGGAGGCAGACACACAAGGAAGGGGCCTTCACCATGTCATCCTCTTCCTCGGAGCTGCCCTCCACCTTCCCTGGCAGAGCAACGCAGGAAATCCTCTTTGCTAACAAGCAACATTTTAGCTAATCTGCTTAGCATCGATGACACTAAAATAGCCTTGCCTGGGACACGGCACATCGTTGAGCATCGTTCTAGGTGCTGGTCGCTCGGTACGCATGTGCCCCATCACAGTTTTTGGGATGGGGGGAAGGATGGACATAGTTTTTCAAGCAAGACCCTTGGCTGCAAGGTTGCAGAGGTCGCCTTTTTGCCCTTTCTAGGCTAATCCCCCCAAACCAACCCCCGCATGCCCATAGAAACCAGCCCAGCCCGGCACCTCGCATGCTGCAAATAACTCCCGCAGCAGCCAAAGGAAGGCTTTTTTTTTTTTTCCCCCCTCTCTAAAACAGCAAGACTAAAGCTACGGCCGCTCACCAAGTCCTAATGCGCCGAGCGCTGCGTTGGGCTGGTTAAACCATGCCAGTTTGCTTTGAGCCAAGCTGCCTCTCGCATAGACTGTTCTAAGGAGAGAAAGGCTGTGAAATGCACGGGGCATGCGTGCTCACCCCAGGGCGAGCAAAAGTCGCCTTGGGCGGCCGTTAAAATCAGCAACGGGGCTTGCAGAGGGATCGAGCACGGAGCAAGAGACTCGCATCAGCTACCCGGGATGGTGGTGGTGAGCAACATTGGAAAACCCAATCCTGGGAGACGGGGGATGCTGAAAAACCACTTTTTGCAAGCAATTAGTTTGATGCGCAGTGCTCCAACCCACCCAGCGCGCGGGCGGCCCGGCGGTATTATTGCTCCTCTGGCTCTGGCGGATGCTGATGCAAAGGCCCTGTATATAACCTGTAGCTATATGTAAATCTCTATGTAAAGTCATGCTTGTTGAGATGGTCGCAGCGAGTATCTAATATATACTGTGTATTTTTTTGCAAAGCACTGGATGACGCTGTTATCAAACCACCCTAAACTGTTTTTTGCTTTGGTGTAAGCTAAATGGAGAGAGAGAGATATATATATATATTGTATAGAAATCTTTCAGAACATTCACCATAAAAGCAGGACTTTGAAGTCACACGTACTTTGTGATATGAGAATGTTTTGTAAATTTGTAACGGTGCATGTACTAAATTTTACGTTCCAATACTTTTATAAGTGTTTGATGTCTGGTAAAAATTAAAATAAACAAAGCAAAGAGGCAAGTCAGTCTCCTTCACGCATACTTTCCTCCACTTTTAGGCCTTTTTGCCTCTTGCATCTCCCTGTCCCAAGCAACAGCTATATCCCTGGACCGTCAAACTGTTTTCTTTATAAAACAATAAATAAAAATCAATGCAGTGACTAGGGAAAAGGATTTCTTTGCCCCCTGCAGAGCGAAAAACCCATTCATACCTTGCATTTCAAGTACATACTTCATCTTTGCCCAATAAAAGCGTTTTTATATTTGCTGTTTTGGTGGAGATTGGCCTACTGGAACGTCACACAACGCCCCGAGCCTTCAGGTAACGCTGCGAGAAATTCAGACCTCCCGTAGTTCCTAAAGCAGTGCCATTGCTCTATGTAGACCAGAATAAATCAATTTAGACTAAATAAATAAAACTTCCAGTACTAAACACCCTTCAGGATTATTCACACCCGCCACTAGCTTGCTCAAAGGGGAAAGTCCACAGGGTACAAGGAGGAGGTCAGGTCCAGACCTCACCTACGTGCCCCACGCTGCACCAAAAACCTGAATAAGACAATGACCTACATGGCAGGGAGGAAATGAGCAGGCTTTACTATTTTTAAAGGAAAACTATAAAAAAAAAAAAAAAAAAAGTAAAAGTAGCAGCTCTCCCAGCAGGGCTTGACTTCAGCCAGCGCCGGTATCGGTGTGCACAGTCCCATATCCCAGGGCTGCCAGCAGAAACGGTTCAAGATGATCATTAACCAGGATGGGAAAATGAACAGAACAAGCTGTGTGAGCTGGCTTCCAAGATGATGTCATGGAAAAAAAAAAAAAAGGAAAAAGAGGAAAAAAAAAATCACAATCCCACACTTTCTCTGTGTAAAAGTAATTAAAAATAAAAAAAAAAACTACTGCATGTCTTTTACCCCACCCCCAACCTGGCCCGGCACCGTTCGGCGGCGGCCGGAGCCCGGGGGCGCTGGTGCCGGGTGGTTGCCGCGGGACCGCCACAACCCGAGCTTCCTCTTGGTCCCTGGAAACGATCCGTTTTAATGGCCGAATTGATTGCTCCTAATTCAATGGCAAAATGCGTCAAATCCTGCACGCGGGCCAGCAGGACCCTCCAAGCCTTGCAGCCAGGCAAGTGATAAAGGAGTAGGATTAAAAAGAAGAAATATGCCCCCAAGTACAAGGGCAATCTTTTTTTTTTTTTTGGGGGGGGATATAGGCTTTGCTGTGATCTTGCTCCCCTTCTCCTTTCACCCTTGCTCTTTCCCCTCCGTCCTTTTTGTAGTGGGGCTTTAAACCTCTCGATGCCTAAGCGAGGGGCCTCTTCCTCCCCGTGGCCAGAGCCACTTGAGACACTTTTCCACCCAAGGAGCGAGCGGCGGCCTCGGGTGGAAATCCAGCCTGGGGCTGAGCATGGCGCGCTGCGTGCAGCTGAAACCGGGTACATCTGACTATTTCGAGGCCGCGCGTCAGCAGGACTGCGCGGGCAATAGCACCATCTCTCGTAGAAGCCGTTGCCCAACGCTGTCGGCCCCTGGCGACGGTTGCTTTTTTATTTTTATTTTTGCCTTTTTTCTTTCTTTTTCTTTTGTTGCTTTTTTCTTTTTTCTTTTTTTCTTTCTTTTTGTTGCTTTTTTCTTTCTTTTTTTTCTTTTTTCTTTCTTTTTTTCTTTTTTCTTTCTTTTTTCTTTCTTTTTTTCTTTTTTCTTTCTTTTTT